CCTGGAAAAGGGATTGCTATGCAGATTCGTCGCTATACGAGGCGCCCGTTAAGCGAGGCACCACTGTACAGTGTTGCCTTGACTTATGAACGTCCCAAATTATGACCATTTCAAGTTACAACCAGCTCCGGCCGCAAAATTTTGTTTCGACTTGCAGCCGGAGCTTCAAGTTACAACCAGAAAAAGGCAGGGGAAAAAGGAAAGGAATTTAAATTGCTAACCGTTGGTGGCAAAGAGGCTGCTCCTTTGTAGCTCTTTTGCCCCAGCAGTTAGAGAGTGTGCAATCGGAGAAGGTTTGGAACTGCCTGGTTTCGGCTTCTGAGTGAGAGTGTGTGTGTTTGCAGGGAGGCTTCGGACTGCCTGGTAAGGTAAGGTGCTGCTTTCTGCTTTTTAAAAACTGCTTGAGTGGGTTTTGCAGGGTGGGTTTGGGCTGGGGTGGTTATGTTTCTGTGCTGTGTTGTTGTTTTGTTTTTTGGTGATTATTTTTTGCAGCCTTTGGAACTGCCTGGTTTCGGCTTCTGAGTGAGAGTGTGTGTGTTTGCAGGGAGGCTTCGGACTGCCTGGTAAGGTAAGGTGCTGCTTTCTGCTTTTTAAAAACTGCTTGAGTGGGTTTTGCAGGGTGGGTTTGGGCTGGGGTGGTTATGTTTCTGTGCTGTGTTGTTGTTTTGTTTTTTGGTGATTATTTTTTGCAGCCGCAGCGCCTTCCTGGCTTCCTCCATGGTTTATTTTTATTTTTTTGCAACCCCAGCGCCTTTGGGGCTTGCTCTGTGGTTATTTTTTTCTTTTTAAAAGCCCCAGCACCTTCAGGGCTTGCTCCCTGGTTTATTTTTGGTTTTTTATTTATTTATTTAAGCCCCAGTGCCTTCGAGGCTTGCTCCCTGGGTTTTTGTTGTTGTTTTTGTTGCAGCTCCAGCAGGTTCCTATGGGTCTTGCAGTGTTTTATTTTTATTTTATTTTGGGGGGATATTTTCTTCTTCTGGAATGGAATAATTGTGTTCCAGTGCATTTCAGTGGGAAATGGTGCTTCGACTTAATGACCATTTCGAGTTACGTCCATCTTCTGGAACGGATTATGGTTGTAAGTCGAGGCACCGCTGTAGTAAATTATCAATATTCATGTAGCAACTTGTTACCATCCAGTGTTGGCTCCAGATTTTAGTGGATCCAGGCAAGATGCTTGACAGTGAGCCTTCCTGTTTCCAAAGGACAACGTTCTTGTCACTTGCCATAGCCTTCAGCTTTGAATCTGCAAAATTTCCTTCCCTAGAGGGAGAGCGCATGGTAAATGGATGACACCACTCCATCTTCTCATTCTTGTCATTGGTTACATACTTGGAAAAGGCAAATAAAGAAGTTGCGACAGCAAGAAGGAAGAGAATCAGCAAGACCAGGAGCCTCAGGACAGTGACAGTGCCCCTATTGCCACATGACTATGGTCCTTGTGAGGTGACCAGTAATACCTGCCTTGGATCAGCCCTTTTATCATCATATTTTCCAGGTCATGCTTCCCCAGATTTCTCATCAAGGGATGCTTGGAGAAATTGTTCTCCTTGCTTTATAACATCAGTGTTTGCATGTACACCACTGCAAGATTCCACTTGCTAAATGGAGCTCTTTAAACAGTATGCCTTTGCACACTTCGTGAACTGTGCATTGCAGGCATTCCTTTAAAATCCATTTCTTATATTCAAGCCACAAGCAATTTCACATGAATCAAAGCATTTGCACTCTGTCAGATTGAGGAAACCTTCACAGTTTGACAGACTGAGGAAAGACCTAGTTCAGTAGCACAACTGCTTTCAATGCTGAGGATCCCAAGTTCAGTCCCAATTCTCTCTAGTATGGTGGATGAGGTTGTGGGCAATGGAAAATACCTCTGCCTGAGACCATACAGAGCTGCTGCCAGTCAGGGTAGAAAATACTGAGGCAGATAGAGAAGGTGTCTGATAGGGAATAGCCAGAGCTCAGTGGTATGTAGTGGTCCAAGCTTCAGTCCCTGTTGTGGTATGGCTAGAAAATATTCCTGTCTGATAGCCTAAAAAGTTGTGTTAGTAGATAGTATTGATCTAGATGGATCAGGGATCTGACGTGATATAAGGCAACTCCTATAAGCATGTGAAGTGCTTGGTTATTGTATACACAATACATTCCAGAAAGAAATATAAACCAAATCTTCTGCCTGTTTACTAGTTCATCTAAGTTGTACCACCCCTGTATATTTAACCAGGGTCCTTGGGCAAAAGAGGGCTTTCAGTCCATCTTCTCAGAGGCCTATCACCCTCCTTTGTTTTGTCTTGGGACATATCTTTTCATCTCACTTGTTTGGTAGTGGTGATAGCGTGGCTGATAAAAACAACAGCAATTGTAGCATCCTGCTTTACTGTATGTACAAACATTCAGCCTGACTTACATAGGATCTCAAAAGAGTTCCATCCTGCCAGTCTCCATGGCCACCCTTCCTTAGCTTCCTAGGAGAGCTAGTATTTAGGAGGTCCCAAACCATTCACTGTGGCAATCATATGTTAATTCTAGCCCATCATTTTTTGTGGGGAGGGGGACACAAAGTCAGTCCCCTGGGACCCCAATACCTCTACCCTCTTCGAATATATTTCTATTTTATATTTTTCACCAAAACAAACAAACAAACAAAAAACACCCTTGGATAGTCAGAGGCAATTTTGCAACATTCCTCCCTTGGACTGTTTAGGATGGGGAGGGGGCTTTGTGTCAAAAACCAGAAGCTGTATAAGAACAACCAAAAATGCTGAAATTCTGTGGACCAATCCAGGTTTGAAGAGTTTGCTTTTTTAAAAAAGAAAAGAAAATGTCTTTAATGTTGTCAAAATTCACCAGGATATGTCCAGAACACAAGATAACAGGAAAAATATATCTTGTGCTTGGATAGTTGTGAAAAATCATCTGGGTTGTGTGGCATTCACATGAATGTCACACTCATTGAATTCTGGATATCCTGTATAACAGATACACATGGAAGTCACATCTGCAAGAAAAGATTTGAGCATTGTACATTTTTAAGCTATATGTTAAGTGAATGAAATTCCAATCATTATTATTCTGAAACAGGCTGTCTATAAATAAGGTTTGACAGGATGATGTGCCAGAAACTTTGAAGTAATAGGAAGAACAGATCTGTGTTAATCCATTCTACAGGCTCTAACGTCTTCTGTGAGCACATCCACAATAATACATTCTGTTTTTTTAGTTCTCTCATACTCTCTTCCAAGGAAAATAGAAAGAAATCAGGTTTTTGACTAGAACAGTTGCTTGGGTGCTGTCAGTGGAAACCAAAAGCATTTTGCTGCTGGAAGCTGTATTCAATTGGTGCTCCCTTTGGTGAGTGCCGGTACTTAAAAAAAAACTCCAGCTACAATATCTAGATATGTAAATTCCTGCTGTCACCATCCTTCCTCTCCTAGATTGTCACCTGAAAGAGATGACATTCTCCATCACCATAGCAGAAATGACTCTGGATCATAGATGTAAAAAGAATCATGTTCTCCATAATTTGTGCAAGGGTGTTTATGTGCAAGCCTAATATCCCTTTGCCTCTGAGTGACAAAACACACACACATCGCAAGCAAAGAACGACTAGTTGTTTAAAAAGAGGCAAACAATCTATCCAAGGTTCCTAATTCTTCAAAGTTCATGAAAGAAAGCAGCAGACACAATTGTTTCTGTCATTTGTATGATTTGCATGATTTATGTGATATCTGTTATTTGCTCAGTTTTTCTGGATTTGCTCAAACTATTGCTCTCGCTCTCATTCTCTTGTAGAGAGTGCTGTCAAATGGCTCACCCTGTCACAGGGCAAGGAGAATAATTTGTGCGTTTTTGTCCTTCTGTGCAGGGACGAGGCAAGTGAGGATTTCTATCACTACCCTGCATGCTATTGAAATCCAAAAAGTTTTGTAAATCAGATTGTTGGCTTGCTTGTTTTGCTTCCTTGCTTGCAGTATATGGATTTTATTGTGGCTTGGCATGTTGTTTTGTTTATCTACTCTCCAGTGCAGTTTATCTTGCCATTCTGTTAGACAACATGTGGAACCGAGCACCAGGGTTCTCGACTGACAATATAAAGTCTTTGACAGTTCTTAACATAGCTACAGTTTTAGGCTATCAATATTGGAAATGAGTGGCCACAACAATAGTGCAGTATGGTTTATTTTATTTTATTTAAATACAGGATAATCAACTAGAGAATTCTCTTTCTGCATCACTATCAATCTAATCTTTAATTTGTGTATCTCATTTAAAAAATATTTTGAGAAAGCTGATTTATTTTCTTAATTATACTGTAGGTATCAACGCCCATTCCTTTCACTTCCTATTAAAGCAGCTTTTTGAACAGGAGACATTATGTTTCTTTTCCTCATACAGAATGAGTCTACCCATACAACGTGTTTTGGGCTATATATTAAGAAAAGGAGAAAAAAACAGCTATACTGAAGAAATAATAATATAGTGATTTAAAGAGAATGGAGGAGAGGGTTTCTCCTGAGGTAAATCATATGATGGACATTAAGAGGAAAATGAAGGACTACCCATAAGTTTAGCATTGAGACTTATATATATTTTTATCTAGCCTTTCTTCTTAAAAGGAACCTAAGGCAGTGACTTGCCATGTACTTACCTTCTATCAAATAAGCTATATATGCGGTACAAAATGTGACTTCAGCTGTTTGATTAGAGAATCCAGTGCATCTGCACCAACAGAGGTTTTCAGTCCATTAGCACAGTATTATGTAGGATTTAGGCCAAAGATTTCAACGGCAGATAAAATGAGTTTGAACAGGAGTAACAAAATTGCTTTGTGGGATAGTGATGCCACACATTAATACGTGAAGAGGTCATAGGATCTGAACCAATCTGCACTAACATGAAGTACAGCTGGACATAATGGCCAGGGCTCTGTTGACCTATACAGTCAAATTAGGGCAGTCATACAATACAAGGTATTTGGGTTGTTGTTGTTTTTTCAGACATCTACAATGTGCCCAGTCTTTCCCGGATCATACAATGGATTCTGAAGACACACGTGTGATAGGATGTGACAAGGATTTCAGGAAACAAGGCAAGCACATGTACGATTGCTTTGTCTGCACAAGTATTATTTGGTTTTATTTTGGCCATGATTGGTCTAAACGTTGGTGTCAATGAATTTGTTAGTTTCACTTTCTTCCATTTTTATTTTTAATAGCTCACGTTCTTACCATCCTGTGTATGAATAAAGCTGCAGAGGTTGGCATATTCTTATTGAAAATAAGCCAAATAAGATTTGATCCAACTGCATCAGCCGCATGCACTCATTAAAGCAGCTTGTTAAATATGTTGCCCTGCTTACCTGAAAAGATAAGAGGTACATCAGAAATTAAGAGGTGGCAAACCAGTTTCTGCTAGTGCTGTGCAGAAAATCTATCCCAAGAGAATTTGACAGTTCTCAAATCATTTAGAAAGAAAAGATATTTCCTCCAGGCAGGGGAAAGGAAGAGAAGTTTTGGAAATATTCTTATGTTTATTTATTAGGTGGCAGAAAATTTGTGTGCATGTCTTATCTGTCACTGTACAGTCATCTATGGGGCAGGTGGCAATACCTCCTCAGCTCCCCACAGCACATTTAAAGCCCATGGAAAGATGTCATAATGTAACTCCTTCTATTAGACTTTTCAGTCAGTAAGTGTGAGCAACCAGAGGACCAGCAGAGGGATAATGAAATATGTAATGCAAAGAAAATAACCTTAACAATGTAGCCTTGAGAATAAGGGAGACAAAATAGAAGCCTCTTTCATGGGGAAATAAACCTTCAGGAAAGTAGGAGGGCAAGTTGGCACAGCACTAGCTCCACCTTTTTCCTGGAGCTGGGCACAACACTGATCTTCATCATACTGGCTCCAGTGTTTACAGGAAATGACCTGTATTATAAGACAAAATGTGTCTTATTGACCTTCTAAAATATACCTTTATGGAAGGTCAGGGAAAGTGTGAAACCTAAAGAATGTCCACAAAGTCTTGAGTCAAAATTTCTCTCAGTATTTTTCCCCCCTGAGGAACATTTTTTCCATCCTCTTCCCCTAAAAGGAGAAAGCCACTCACCAGAATTATTTCCAAAATTTCCTCACCATTTTTTATAGCAGCTTCCTGATACCATTACCACAGTACATTAGGAGGACACTAGACAGTGTATTGTAAAGGAAAGAAAATGGTAACCAGGGTGCTTAACAGGGTTACTGTTGTTGCCACTTGCAGAGGGAGTGCAAAACCGAACCAAAACAAAGTGTTTGCCATTTGGCAGGGGGAGAATAAAGGCATGCTGCAACAACTAATGGTGAGCTCCATCTCTGAGATGTTGTTAGAGAATTTCCCCTTCCCTTGGAAAAGTTTGGTGAAATTGTCACACACACCTATTTCTCTTCTCATAAATATAGAGGATTTTGAGTAGCCATTTCAGCATCACAAACTCAGTTGAATAAGTAGGCTTTCAAGCCTAGACTCATAACAGTTAGACGTTCATAGCTCTGTTGATGGATGGGCAGGACTGTCAGTTTTCCTTTCTCCCATAATTGTTTTCATTTAAAAAAAAAAAACCTCAAGTTATTTCAAATGCATTTATTAATGACATTATAAAATTTTGGAAAGTTCGTATAGAAAAAAATAAAAAAAATAAGCAAAGTTTTCACCCATCTATAACTGAAGATAAACTTGTGATTATTCTCTACTTGTGGTCTGATAAACTTACAGAAGAACACAGTGCCAATTTCTGCATTCTTAAGATCATTGTAGTTTAATGGGTTAATGTACCTTATTTTCCGGTGTATAAGATGACTTTTTTTGGCCCAAAAAACATGCCTCCAAGTGGGGGGAGGGGTCATCTTATACTCCAGGTGCACTTCAGTTGGGCCAGGAAAGAGCCGCCGCTGCTATTGAGTGAGTGACGTGGGGGCCACGCCAGCCAGGGAGGAAGGCAGGTGGGCAGGCAGGCAGGCGGTCGGTCTGGATGGAGGGAAGGAAGCAGAGCCGGCCATTCCTGAGCAGCCAGAGCCCGCTGCCGGGCTGCCCGCTGCCCCTGCTGCTGAGCCAGCTGCCCGCCGCAGCCGCTTCCCCTCCTCCTTGCCCTCCTTGCCGCCGGCCATAAACTTCCAAGGCGGGCCTGGGAAGAGCTCCGGGCAGCCGCCCCCGGCACCGCAGCAGAACCGTCCACTCTATATTTTGAGTGGAAATGTTGAGGGGGGGGTTATCTTATATGCCCAGTGATCTTGTACGCTGGCAAATACGGTAGTTATTTTGCACTATCTGGAAAATGCTGCTTTAATTTAAAAAGACACACACACACAAAGGTTTATAGACATTCAGAAGCACTGGGAAATGCTTGAAGATGGGCCCCACAACTTTATTTCTACTCAGAAGTACACCCCTGGACTTGCTGCCAGGTAAGTGGGCGGAAGATCACAACCTCAGTTTAAATTCGAGCCTGATTCATTCCTATAAGGAGCAAGGCAAGACCGTGCCTTAAATCTATGACGTGCATATTGAAAACTGCTTTTTCAGGGTTAAAGTTTTTCGTTAAATAAAATTCAAGATCTTTCCATCCATTGCACTTCCTTTTTCCTACTAACTGTCATGTTAAGATGTTCTCTTCTTCACGCTGGCTACAACTACAGGCATAGACTCTTGGCTGCCTTCACATCTAGCCATCTGTTAGAATGGCATTATGCCCAGCTCAAAGAAGTTAGCTTTATTTCTCAAGACAAAGAGATGCTAAGAAAGGTTTAGATGGACAGGTGAGAGACAGCCTTGACATCTTTCTACAGACTGGTTTTTCACCTTGAGGCTTTCCCATTCCCCCCCCCCTTGTTCTACTTTGACAATAATACATCTGTTGGCAATCAAGGGCTATAATTTCCCTCAGCAAAATGTTACAGTAGAAAAGGAGATCACAATTTATTTATTTTTGTCAAGGGAAAGAGTATTTCATAGCCCAAACTCTGCCAAATAGTATTTCCGAACACATAGCTTGCAGACACACTATGCAAGGAACCTCACAGAACCATAAAGGATTCCATTTGATGCTAGCAAAGCATGAGACTTTGCCTTTGAATCACTGGCTGCACATAGCCAGTCAGGCCTCACCATCACACCTCCAGCCGATTGCTCGAAACAGCAATACTGCATGGCCATATTATTTTGACAGTTGCAAGAAGCAGTGACTGTGTGTGTGAGAGAGAGAATAAAGAGTTACAAGAAAATGAGTAGTGATGGCTCAAAGGCTTAATTTGGAGTACAGAGTTCAAACATAAATTGCAGTATCTCAGTATTTACTAAGTCTGTGTTAGATCAAATTCAGACTTCCCAAAGTTCTGGTTCAGCTGGACATAAGTAAATTTTCCTTCCCAGTTAAAACTGCCAAAGCTAGCTGTTCCCTTTCCTTGATGACACTTAACCTGCAGCATCTTGACTGCAATTTCCATTTAATTTTACATGTGGCCAAAGACCAATAGGAACCATAGGAAATGCGGTTCACTTGATTCTTGACATCCAAAGAGGTCAGGAACATGTTTCCCATGGACAGACAGGCCTATGGGATAAATACAGTGACAACTACAGTTCCCTTCATTCTTAGCAGACCTTTGCAGTGTCTCATGGTGGCTCCATTTATGAGCTTCTAGGGGAGTACAGCAGCAGGGGAATTTCCAGGCTCCATAATCAGAATGCAAAATAGACTCATTATTCTACTTATTTAAAAAATATATTCTTTCAGCCAAGCCCATGCCAAACTCAGCTACCAAAAACAAACAAACAAACCAAGAAAGGGGAAGTAATGACAGGTTCTATGTAGGCAAATGATTTCTAAATTGTATGCCATATGGCAATTGCTTCAAGAAATTCTTCTTATTTTAAACTAAACAAAGCAGCAATTGATAGATAGGGCCATATATAGTATCTCTGAATGATTCGGTGCTTAAGCATTGCCTCCTTCTAACCTGTCCATACTTGGGTGGGTAATTCTGATATGTTTCCGCATCAGATGCCGTTTCATCATCCAATGAAAAAGCATATTTTGCATGAGGGCAGTTCCAGGTTCAATTCTTGTAATTCCTAGGTAAATTCTTATAATCCCTTGGAAAAAATTTCCTATATGAAACTCTGGAAGACTACTGTTAGGTGTTACATGCAGTACATTGGCCAAAAACGTGTTGTGAAACTTTAGCAAAGTCAGAAGTTTTGCTTCCTTTCCTGACATGATTCTCAGAGTTGTGTGCACATGTACCAAGCTAGCATGCCTACAAACCCCCAGAATTGCACAAGGGCCTCTTTGTTTACAGAAGCTTATGACTTTACTGATATTTGTTGCTGTTAAGCATTGTTGAGTCAGAACTGAACACGCGCGCACTGGTTAAAGGGAACAGGTCAGATAAAACGGCAAGGTGGGCCGGATGTGGCCAGTGGGCCAAGGTTTGGAGACCCCTGCTCTAGACCAGTGGTTCCCCCACCTTGGATAATTCAAGTGTTGTTGGACTAAAAGTCCAAGAAGCCTTTGACACTGGGTGTGGTGGCTGGGAGTTGCAGTCCAGGAACAGTTGGGTACCCCAAAATTGGGAACCACTGCTCTAGACACTCCTAAGTGTTCAGTCTAACAGCAATTCTAGGCATGCTTTATGGATTTATGTGTACTATATTTGAGAAACAGGAAGAGGTTTGAACCCATTCATGTTTCAGTCTGCCTTCCAGATCTCTAGAAGTTAAATCTTGAGGAGAGGTGGACTGATCTGAATGCACCTGCATGTACATACACAGACACAAACATTGAATACCCCTATGCTGCTTCTCCTTCATTGCCTCCCCTTGCCCTATCCAGAAGGTACATATTGCTGTAGGTACTTGAGTGGTGGCTGTTCGATTAATTATTATAACCAGAATCACTGTCAGTTGTGCCATGCACTCCTGTGTACGTTTATGCAGAAGTAAGCCCTTTCATTTTCAATGTGGCTTACTCCCTTGTGAGTATGTTCAGGATGGCAGCTTAAAAATAAGCTGTCCTCGGTGTCAGAGAAATGATAAGCAAGTTGGATATGAATAAGTGTTGTGT